AACAATAATAATAATAATTTGCCCTTTTCCCTGGTCCTCATAGCAGCCTCTTTCCCCCAGCCAACCACTCTCCTAAAAAAGTTTTCCTGGGGGTAGGAGAGATGACTCAGCGATTAATTGCACTGGCTGCTCTTCCAGAGGTCCTGAGTTCAATTCCCAGCAACCACATGGTAGCTCCCAACCATCTATAATGAGATCATGTGCCCTCTTCTGGCCTACAGGTAAAAATGCAGACAGAACACTATATACTTAATAACTAAATCTTTTAAAAAATAATAACGAAATAGGTCAGGCGGTGGTGGTGCACGTCTTTAATCCCAACACTTGGAAGGCAGAGGCAAGCGGATCTCTGAGAAGTCAAGACCAGTCTGGTCTACCGAGCAAGTTCCAGGACAGGTTCCAAAGCTACACAGATAATAATAAAGGAAAAGGAAAGGCTCTTCTGGAGATGGGCTGAGGGGGTGACTCGGTGTCCAAGTGTGAAGAACCCACCTAAACTGGCTGGAGGCAGAGACAGGAACCCCAGAACAAGCTGTCTGGCGAGACTAGCCACAGGCTCAAGCTGCAGGGCTGACATGGAGAGCCTGCCTCCATGTGGAAAAGCAATCAAGGAAGATTCTGGACACCAACCTCAGGCCTCCACGTGTGTGTACACACATGTATGCTCACCACACACATGTGAATGCTCACATACACCCACGATCCACACAGGTACACAAAAACAGGAGAAAAAAGACGGTGTTCCTTTTCGTCGGCTTCTCACTGCGCCTGCCTGGCTGAGCTCATCACCGGCCATCTTGGTCTGCTCAGCTGCCCTGGACCCCTAATGGTGGCCTCTTGCCTACACCTTCCTCTTCTTCACTATTCTCAACTCTCCCGCCGTTCCTTTAAGCCTTCAGCTCCCACACTGGCCCAAACTGTGACCTTGAATTCTCAGTTTCATTCACACAAGTCCCTCATGGTTGAACAGGAGTAACCAACCCCATTACCGGCATCAATTTCTGTCCAGATAACTAGACCAAAAAGCGCAAATCCCGCATCTCCACTGCTGCGTCCCAGTTAAGTCCTCCTACTGATTCCAGGGCGCCTGAGGGGCCTCCTGGCTCGTCACACTCCGCTGTGCTCCCTAATATTTTATTGCTACCGCAGCCTTTACCCACCGGGAGCGAATGAACAGCCTCTCTCAATACCTGGATTTTCCCAAAGCCCAAAGATATAATATTTCTTGCCGGGCGGTGGTGGCACACACCTTTAATCCCAGCACTAAAGAGGCAGAGGCAGGAGGATCTCTGAGCTCGAGGCCAGCCTAGTCTACAGAATGAGTTCCAGGACAGGTTCCAAATCTAAACAGAGAAACCCTGTTTCTAAAAACAAACAAACAAATAAAAAAGAAAGAAAAGAGAAGAGAAGAAATGCTTCTTTCAGTATGGCATAATGAGCACAGCTGTAATCCTAGTGCTCAGGAGGCTGAGGCAGGAAATTCCCATGAGCAACCAATGAAACAGCAACAAACAACCAGAAAGGGCCAGGGCTAGCAAAATGCTTCAGTGAACATGGGCACCTGTGATCTGCATACTATCCTGGGACCCAAAGTGGGTGAAGGAGAGAACTGACTCCCTCACGTTGAACTCTGACCACACACACACACACACACACACACATACACGTTCTCTCTCTCTTCCTCTCAAGTATAAATAAAATAGGCAGAGACACAAACAGCGTGAGTTTAAAGCCACCCTTGACCACACGGTGCGTCCTAGGAGAGCCTGGCACACAGGAGACCCTTTCTCAAATAGGAAGTATCCTTCTAGTCACAGAAGCCCAAAGGGCCCTTTACCTCCTTGAACTGGGGGTGGGCAGCGTCCCTCACAAGTTGCAGAATGAGTGCCTCGCTGGTGGAGAGGAAAGCCCCGCTCTGCCTCATGCGGGCCATCGCCACCAGCCGGTCGACCTGGCTACAGGAAAGAGAGAGAGGGCAGGCATCCATGCTGTGGTGTGCCTGACATACACGGCAGGGGCCACCCCACTGAGACCCTCTCACCTTCGAGAAGAGCAGGCGTCCACCACCACATGGACCTGCAGTCCCCGCTCCAGGAGATCCAGGGCCGTGTTCTAAGAGCAGAGAGGTCCAGGTCCAGACCCAGCGTACAAACAGCTCTCCCAGCGAGGGACTCACCAGTCAGAACTGGAGATGAGGAGGCTCAACCAGCACCCCAGGGAAGGAGGGAGGGCCAGGAGGTGAGAATGGGGAGCCCAGGGGACAGGCAGGGTCTCACCAAGATGCAGACTTGGGTCTCAATGCCACAGAGCAACACCGAGCGCAGCTGCGGTCGGCCATCCAGCTCCTTCTGTAAGGTGGGCACCATGCTGAAGCACGTCTTACTCACTGGCCTAATGCCCTGAGTGCCCAGCTCAGGAACTGTGGGACCCAGGCCTTGTGGGTACTGCTCCGTTAGCAAGACAGGGACATCTAGCAGCCGGGCCACCTACATGAGAAAGGACACATAGGGCTGGATCCCAAGGATGAGGGCTGCAGACTGGATTCCTGGGTCTGGGGAGGAGGGCTTGGGCCTGAACCCCTGGGTCTTTGCAAGACGGAGGTAGTTGGTACCTTGAGCATCCGAGCGGCCACCGACACAATCTGAGGGAAATAGGCTATGCTGGGACGGAACTTCTCCTGCATGTCGCACAGGAACAGGATGGAGGACTCTGGGAGGATCCGGCCCAGGCTAGCCCTGGCTGCTGCCATGGTCTGGGGGTGGACGGAGGGACAGTAGGCAGGGTCAGGTGGGATTGTAGGGATTCAAGGGAAGTCTTCGGTGAATGGGAACTGTTGATATGCTCACGACCATGACAAAAATCAAACCCTCAGACCCATGGGAAATGGACAAAGCCTTCTTCAGGCTTGAGCGGGAACACTGACAGTGTGTACAGAAATGTCCACCACTGCTTTGTTCCCCCAGCTGGGACGAAACTGCCCCTGCCTACGGAGACTGCCCCTGCCTACGGAGACGGCTCCTACTCCAGCCAGCTAAACCTGCCTCTTTGTGCATCTAGGTATCCAACACCCCTCACCCCCTTGTTTATCTGTATGAATAACCGCCTCTCTGTTCCGCTGTAGATGATAAAGATCCGGAGGCTGTGAGGCAGGGTGATGCTGGAGCTTCTTCATTAGAAGGCCACCCAGCCGCATGTTCGTGTTCGCGTATCCCTGTATCTACCTCTTCTTCTTGCCCTTGCTGCTCCAGTAAGGTCAATCACTGGAGCTTTGCGCGCTGCAGCCGGGGATGAGGGTTCCCTCACTTGGTTCTGTGGCCCCTGCACCTTGTGCTCCTGCTCCCACCTCCAGGCCTTTGCTTCTGCTGTCCTTGGCCTGAGAGTCACTCCCTCCCTTTTTTCTCCCTCCCTCCCTCCTTCCTCCCTTCCTCTCTCCCTCCGCCCTGTTTTGCCCTGTT